GAAACAAAATGCCTCGTTATTGTTTGTTTGGTGACACTGTCAACACCGCGTCTAGGATGCAGACAACGGGCATGCGTGAGTATGAACGACTCAACATTGATCAATATTTATCCACCGTTGAACGATATCGAAATCTGTTGACTGAGTAGTCCTGAAACATAGCATGACAGCGAGTTTGACATGCAGCAGTCGAGGTCTGATTCCTTGTGATCAGTAAATCTCGCCCTCTTTGTCGCAGGCCTTAGGTCAACTGAAATGGGCTCCAGGTTAAAGTTGGGTATCTACTAGCCTGCATCGCAGATATTATTTAATCCCGGTTAGTAACGTCTGCGAGACCGCGGCGATATCCTTGATCTGGGCCCACAACGGACTCAATGAATTACCCGAAATGCGTTTTGAATTTCCCTTCAACCTGATTGGCAAATTGACGATGGCTTTTTTAACAGGCCAATCATGGCGTGTACTCAAATCCTGGTACACAGGTTGGGGACCAGAACAAGGATTTCGGCGCTGTTTCGCAGACGGACTTAACAAGAAGTTAATTTCCGTCTGTGGTGCAGGCTAAGTATCTACATTTAGTATCAGAAAGGCATGATAATAGTAAACTTCGAATGGCAATGTTTTGTTTTTGAGAATTTTCAAAACTTAACGGAGCATTCATTTATTTTTAGCTCAGAAAATTCATGTCAGCCAAGATACAAAGAATTTGCTGATTCATCTGAGTGGTTATACGCTAGAATTCAGAGGACATGTGGACGTTAAGGTATGCATATATATCGTAAGCTGTTGCATATTTTAAGTTACATCTAAGGTAACACTAAATCTTTAAGCGTAATTCCAGTTTTCGTTACGTATCAAACGTTACACTTTCTTTAAATAACTCCTACCCTCTTACTTTGCCAAATGTATGCAAACCCTCCTGAAGTTGAATTCCAAGGGACCATGTTCAAGTTCAGAAAGAGAAATAAAATTTCGTCGTTGCTTGTTTACGCTCTCCATAAAACACAAAATTAGGCCTTCTCACGTCGTAGTCGTGCAAAAACGGCAAAGAAGTGTACAAAAAAGTGTGATGCACGAGCGAAGTTGTTTTTTTGCTCATTAATTAAACCTATTGCTCTTTAGACGTTCTCCTTGCCGCGGGTCGCTGGATCTTAAAGTCCCTTATGTCACTCACAGTAACGGTCACGAACTATGATCCGACCAGACGGTAAATAGCGAAGACTTAGAAGAAGAGGCTGCAACAACTAAGAACGTTACCCACTGTTAAGCTAAAATATGCAGTGTCACTTTCCAGTCTCAGAAAAAAGTGCAGGTTTTGCGCGGTCCTTTTTCAGTACAGGTTTCGCAGAAAGTTTTCGACCTGAGCAATATAAAGCGATACAACCATCGATACAGCCTTGTCCTCAGGAAGGGCCCTGGGAACGAGGTTAAAAGCGACTGTCAATAACGGTGTCACAGTGATATGGGCATTCCCACGGTTTAGGCATCCCTATTTCCAAACCCCAGTGATATGGGCATCCCCTGTAACCCTAACCCTAAACCTAACCTGAATCGCTAAGGTAATATGAAAAGGGGATGCCCATATCACTAAGAGGTTTGGGAACTGGGATGCCCAAAACGCGGGGATGCCCATATCACTATAACAACGGCACTCAGTCCTCATCCTGCATTCGCCACTTTAGAAAGGACAAGGGAACCGAAGCCGAAATGCGTCCCTCAATTTTTTCTGGGACTGGCCAATTCGCCAATAGCCCACGTTCGATATATTAAAATTCTAACATGACTCCGAGGCCTTCTGATCATTTTTCTACATTTTGGTTTTCTTTCCTGTGCTCAAGTCTCTTTTGGGAGTTGCGAGACAATGGAGTCTTGAAAAATTGCAATATTGGCCCTAAAACCTCCAGCTCATGTTAGAATTCTAAAAAATATCACAGGTGAGCTATTGGCAATTTTTTTCGCCTGTCGTTAGTTTCGTCGTTAGTAAGTATCATGAAGGAACTAATCATCTCTAATTCTCTTTTGCAGGGAAAAGGTGAAATGAAAACTTACTGGCTGTCAAAACACATGACATAACTCATTTGGTGTCGGTTTTTATTCAAAGGGAATATTTAGTTATTGGTTGTGACCATCCTCCTGCAACTTAACGTTGCGTTGAAGATGAGAGATTAGCCGGAAAATTCACTTGTTGCACTCGGCGTACGCGTATCATGAGGTTTTGGAAAATTTCAACGGAGATCTTTATGTTCGAGGATGAGAACGACTACGAGCACGAGATTTGATGTAGAGTTTTTCACGTATTGTCCAAAAATAGGCACCCCAAAATGATACAATGTACTTTTTTTTTCACCAGAAAAGTTAGCGCTATTAACAGTTATCGCTGTTGAAGGAGTTAAACCATCCCCCGATCGCAAAATTAAAAAAAGCTCTTAATATTTGATGACTTCTCGCTGAAACTCGTTGTAGAATGACAACGACTACCACGTTTTCTCGCCAAAATGACGCTGTTCACGCACGCGCACTACTTAGTATCGAGAAAAACTCTTACTCGTGATCGTTCTCGTCTTAGAATCTAAAAGGTCTCTAATATGTGGACGTATCGTCATTAGCTTGTAATATGATTATTACCTAGCAGTAGGGGAAACTGGTTATGAAAGACGGCAAGCACCAAAGATAAAATCAACGGTGCTGCAATTTATGTTGGAAGCTATCGCGCGGTGAACAATCCTTTGTTTTTTGTTCAAAAATCGTGATGGAATGCATTAATGCGGCGTGATAGGAATGCTATTGAAAGTTGTGCACCTTCAACAGAAGTCTGACGGGCTTCATAACCATTCCACTCTATTAACTATGTTTAAAGCCGGAAAATCTAAACTTCTCACTAATTACCTTAAATGTAGCTGAGATTGAAAAGGTTGTAATGCCTGTAAATATGTAAATTACTGTACTACTGCTGTATCAAGTCCCCCCTAACTAATACTTGTGATATCTGGTTAAATGACGTCAATAGTACAGGCTGTCGCCAGACAAAAGACGGTACCCGATAAGCCCTGGGAAAGAAGTTGAATTAGCCTGGTTGTTTTCGTAGAGCTTGAGAAATGGTGAGAAATTTTACACCTTACGTGGAGAAGAAATAGCCGAACGTCTGCCTGAAATCATAGCAAGAACACCGAAGATTCAACGAAACGGATTACATCTAGCAATTATTTTAAAGTATAAATTATTTTGAATGAATAATAAAACAATTACTGGGTTCATCTTTCGTATTATCTGACAAATTATTTGTATCTCGGAGGGTGTTATCCGCCTCAGCAGGTCCAATAATTGCAAAATTGCACAGTTTTATTCAATAACTGAAATTATTCCCGATTACTAAGCATAAAGGTTTTTTTTTTCTGACAATACGTCCACCTTAGTAGTAATTAGAGATAAACGTCGGGTGGCTGTTTAAAACATCTTGGAAAATTACATCGACATATAAGAGATATCAAATCAGGAGAAATCGTGGTAAATACCTTCTCTTAATATTATGGGTGACAAATTACTCCTTGTTTTGGGGGCCAAAATTTCAACTTTCAGAATTTATAAAGGAGAACGCCGAAGTTCAGTATGTCTCCAGGTGGATGGTACATGTAGATGTTACAACTGCATGTAGGACACCTAAACACACAAAAGTGCAGCATTTTTAACTTCAAGATGGAGTTTATTGGGTAGTTTGTCGAAAAACTCAGAAAATTGTGATCTTTACTTATGCTTTAAACTGTTTCAATACCAATTTCAGGACACACGCACTGACGCAGACACTAGAGAGATTAAGAGTCACGTTTACGACAAACGGCAAACGTGAGATTCAAGTTGAGAATTTCTCTGAACAGACAATAAACAGATAAAATCTCTCCAGAACGATTCTTATGGATAAAACTGGCGTGAAACTACTTTTTTTCGAGTAGAAGTAATAAACAGTAAACTACAATTAGAGCGGTTTTCATTTGAGTGTCGAAAAGTAATTGGTTTTGCACTTTCTACACGATGCGATTGGCTTAAAAGATTCGCGCCACCTTTTCATCCAATCAGAAGTAAAACCAAAGCCAATTGTGACGCGCTCGCATGCATTTTCCCGCGCTTTGCGTCAGCCACATGTAATTACTTCGAGTTTTGATTGGTTCAATGTATTGTCTGTGTCCTATGTGATTGGCCAGAGTAATTACTTTGGTTTTGGTTTTACGACACTCAAACGAAAACCACTCTAAGGGAAAAACTTGGTCAAGTGGGACAAATTCACGTTTGACGTTTGGCGCAAACGTGAATCTTCGACTCTCTACCACCAATTCCGCGGTATAGCCAGTACCTTACGCATATCACCCGGGAAGTGGCAGCCAAATTGAACAGCTGTCTCGTCCTCATTAGGTCGCATCAGCATGGTATAGCGCCTCAGCAGTAAACGGCGGGGTAGATGATCGCAAGTGAGACCTCTCGCCATGCCTTGCTGATGAGTCTATGGCTGCCACTGCGCAGGCGATATGGCTGTGCGCATGCGTAAGGTGCTGGTTGTATTGTGTGCTTCAGTGCTTCTAATGATGTGAATTTGTCCTAATCAAGGTTCGGGAAACTAATTATTATTATTATTATATTATTAGTATTTGACAAAACTCAGGTGAAACTGTTTTCTAATTTTCCTCTCACCATTTGTTTACCCTGTCAATATTAGAAATCGACGCTGGCTTGGCATGCGGAGGCCAATGGAAATTTTTCGTCAGTTTTTAGAACCATCTGGACTTTATTGTCTCGATCTCATTAACATGTAAAAAGAATTTTTATCTAAAGAAAATGGGTTTTGAATTGAAGGATTACATTATTTTAACTTCAGTCAATCCCTTTCAACACTGAAAACTTAATTGTTCTTTTAAAAAGGAACCGCTTCATAGGTTTCATTTTTTAGAAACTTTCACCACGTTTATCATTTTCTGTTAATATAATATATTATGGTAGCAATTACCAAGAATTACAATTTCATAGGGTGCATAAGCAATTACTTTTTCTATGATAAAGATGTTCTACTTGTTTCTTCCATGTCATTTTTGTTTCTTAAAAAGAAACTGTGAGGAAAAAAATTATGAGGGTTTAGAGTTTTCCAGCTTTTCAAGCCTATTAATTTTGCATCCTGTCAAATGCCTGGGCGGCTTTTAAATAGTAGTTTCAGGATCGATTAAGTTGCCATTTTGAACATAATTAGTTACCATATTACTACTAGTTATCATAATTCAGAAATGCATCAATTTCGTATAAAAATAAGGTCGCAATACTTTCCTAATTAGAAGCGCGGACAAATATTGTTTCTATGGCATAAATTGCAACACGCATTCAGTTAAAGCCATCGTGTCTTTGTGTTAAATTCAGACTTGTTGTGTCTTATTTCTTTTTCCTCTGACTTTAAAAATTTTAAAAACTTTCCTTCATTTAGAATTAGGGGATTTGAAAAAAAAAATTGCTAATATCTTATTCCTATTGTCAAACTCCCTCGGTTTTATAGAAAACAATATTTACAAATGTCTCTGTAGATACCTTTCTTGTTAGACAAGTGGGGTCACAGATCGAATACTAGTGTATTACATTTCAAATGTTTTGATACACACAAAACTTATTTTCCAATTTCAGTTTTTCTATCGCTACTCATTTTCGGAGAAACCCCTTCTTATAGGTTGCCGTTACTTTTAGACGGTTCCAAAAGCATCACCGGTTTGTAAAAGTACACGAACTGGGATGAAAACATGAGAAGGCTTAAAGTTAGCAAAAAATAATAAACGAATATCAAAGGGACAATCCATTGTGTAAAATATTCTATCAGTTCATTTTGGTAGCAATTAACTCTTTTCCCTTCAACACCCTCATCCCCACATCACGGAAGTCTTATTTTCGCTTGGCTTGTTTTCGCGACGTTCCTAGCTATTATCCGAGAACCTGGCACAGGCTATGGAGAGAGGGGAGGCTACAACACTCGACTCATATCAGTGCAGTCTAGGGCGTTTCAGGCTTAAAGCAGGTTAAAAACTAGAATTGACCAACGGTGCTGAGTGCTGGCGAGATCGATCGAAGCTCAAAATTCTCTTATCACTTCCACGCTTCATACATTGTTGTCAGACATACCTGCCGCGCATGCGTAGAAGCAACTTAGAGATTTAGGATTGCGTGCTCCTGTCCAAAGTTAGCGCAAAATTTCAACATTATTTCTGTAGGTTTGTTTTAGCCTACAATTTGATGTTTGATTCCCTAAAATAATCCGAAAAAGTAACAGAGGCGATGCTTTTTCTTTTTTCTTTCTTTCTTTTTTTAAATGGAACAGGAACCCGGGTTAATATTTATCCCGAGTTAGCGATAATCGGCCTTTTTGCAACGGGCTCCCACGTTGATATTCCAGGGACGTCGAAGCCATATGTCAGTTGAGGCTGTTGGATATTTTCTTTCCTTCAAGAGGTTTTTCTTTCACCAAAAACTTCCAAATTAAATTCTAATTCGCTCTAAGACATCAAAGATTTGTTGAAGAACCTTAACATATATGGTGGGTGAACTATTTAACATCTTGCAAAGTCCTGCCTTTTCAAGTACAAGTATAAAGTTGTTACCTTGCGCAATGACCATTTTATTGACCATATATGGTCACACAGCTGAGGGTTAGGAGCTCTGACCATTCTCCCTGAGCCAATCAACATGCAGGAAATACAATAACCATAGTCCAGTTTTTTCCATAAAAAAACAGTTATTATTTCATAGACTTACTTCGTTTGAATATTTAACGAATATTGTACTAGGCAAAAAAATTGGAGCCGAAACATTTTTCTTGTGCTAGCCTTTGGCAGACCAATAATCAACTGAAGAATTGTTTTTAATAACTGAGACGAGATGTTCCTCGCACTGTGCGCACAATTGATGAATATGAAGGATTGAATTGTCTATCCTTGGACCTGCTCTTCGTGAAGCTAAAGCCCGCGGAAAACCTACTTTGTCGTAAAAGAGGTGGGTTTTGTTTCAGTTTGCCAAAGAGTGATAAGAGAAAACAATATTAGATTTAAGCACTGTTTCAAATTTTTACCGATAGTTTGCTCTCTAAATCTTAAGGTCCATGTTTGTTTTACACTATTACTTAGTATGTTTAGGTACTTTTCCCCCCAAGGACATCCAGCTGTAATATTAAGGGAACGAGTCATTAGTAAATTTATTATAATTACAAAGATGTTCTCCTTGTGTGTTTTTTTAGAAACTGTATTCGATCTAGTTTTTAGCAAAGATTGAGGCAGCATTTAATCAGGATAAAAAAATTTCTAATGGAAAAATAATATTACTTGTTCGACAAAGATTAACGTGTGTTCATATCAAGCCGATTTTTTGAAAACCAACCTAACGAAATTTGCAGTCATTTGAGTGAAAAGGCGTCAAAAGGCAGGCTTTTTGGGCCCGATAAGCTGCAAAATCACACTAACGAAGGAAAAGGAAAGGAGAAAAAGAAAGAGCGAGGACAAGGAAAGGAGAAGAAAAAAAAAGAAGCAATGGTTGCACTCTTAATTTCACATAATGGCTACTTTTGAGGTAGTTTTTGACCGTTTGGCGGTAACGTTTTCAAAAATACATACTCATCACAAATGAAGACACATGATGTTTTCTTCAACGTTTTTTTTTACCTTTGTCCAAAATTAAAATACGTATAAAGATGAGGTCGCAATTTTTCTCCGATTAAAGAGCGGGAAAACTGTTTTTATTGCAGTTTCACCAAGCGTTCAGAAACTGATTGCTATACAAATAGTTTATGATAACTTCACTTAGAGTCATGAGTTAAATTTAGGATTGCTTTTTCTATTCTATTTATTAAACCTGTTAATGGTACATCCTGCCATCTGCCACTATTTTTTTTGTCTTGAGTTCGTGCAAAAATACGATCACATTGTTTTTTTCTCGGCTGATTAATGCGCAGGACAAAATTGTTTTCATGTAAATTGTACTTTACCACGCATTCAGAAACCGATTGCCTGCTGTGCATCGATGATGACACCCCCACTTAAAGTGATGCGTTAAATTTAGTGTTGCTGTTTGTATCTATTTTTTTTATATTTTGACTGGAAAACTTTCAAAAGTTTCCTTTATTTAGAATAAACAGGTTTTTGGAAAAGAATGGAAAAATGGCGAATGATTTTTTCGATTTTTCTTAAACCTCGCGTTCTAGCAGGTGCCAAACTGTAAGTCGCCTTTTCATACTAAACAATCTTTTCAAACTCTTTACAAGAATCACTGCAAATTTCGCGTGGACAGCTGTAGTGTACTCAGCTCAGTCATTTTCAATTGTTTAACTGAGCCAACTGGAAACTTCTATAAATTGCGAAAATTTATCTTTGTGAAAACCAACCATTATATTTTCTTTTATGGTACATAGAGCTGCGCTTGATAAGCTAGTTTGCCGACTAGTCGAGATTCGCGAAATGTAATTTTGGGTGATTAACTGTTAATTGTCGTTCCGCGGAACTTATAAACCGATCCAGAACTACTGACTCCGGCATTTACTTTGAACAAGTAAATCCTTCCCTCAACAGTTTGTGGCTTTAATACTGATCGAACTAGATATCTATGTGGTCTTCTTCGAGGGGAAGAGCAGAAACCATTTTCTTGTATTCCTTACTTATTCTAACCTGTTATCAGGCGTTTTTTTTCGGGGAAAGAGGAAAAAAGAAAGCCTTATACATTTACTTCACGGGTCGTCAGCTGCTGCCCCTTTACTAAGGTATCTGTCAACATTTGTGTTATTAAATGGCAGTTTGCAACGGAGGCGGCTATCATCGAAATATATTTATCTGCTTTCCAGCAGGCAAGCGGTGAATGTTAAGTTGATACAGTAGTCGTTAGCAAAAAGATCACAGATTTTGAATACTAAGTTAGCAGTGCTGTTATTGCAAATCTTTCCTTATCGTTGCCGTGTGGTACCTTTTTTCAAACCGTCAAGTCAAACAAATTAATAATTCATTGAAAACAATTGGGGAGCAAGGCAGAATTCTGTATTTTACTGGAAGTGGTCAAACGTATAGGGAATTTATTCTGCGGCAACAAACCTTTCATGGTCTTTCATCAGTTCGCAAAAGGGCGGACTTAAAATCGTCGAATAATTATTTTTTTACACCCTTTCACGCAGTTGAACTCGATCGGAAATCAAACACAACAACTCTGCGTAGTGAGAGCAAGAAAGCGTCGAAGAAGAGATAGCGGATATCCTTACCGGTAACAAATAACAACTCGTCCTTATCCCAGCTGTCGACGTTTTTTGCTGTTCATTGTTGACTTGATTCATTAAAAAGTATTGATTGTTTTTCTTAAGACCTAGTTAAATAGACGGCGAGCGGTCTCTCTTTTTCTATAGATTTAGTAAGGGGAGTGAACGCGCGCGAAAGCGTCGAGCGTGGCAGCCCGTGAGACGCAAGAAACGAGGACGACAACCTTCAATCATGCGCGTGGTCATTTGCGTGTCTCAAGCGTTTTGCTCGACGGACCAAGAAAAAAAGGGAGACTGCTCGTAGTCTAGCTGTTAAAAGAATTCCTCGATCATCTCGTGGCTTATGTCAGGAAGAGACGAAGGTGACAAAACCTACCTAATAGCACAGGAAGTCAGATCTGTTGCTTGACCAATCGGCACAGGGATCCGAAGGAACTTTTGTTTTTCGACCAATCAGACAACAGTCCAGATTCTGGACGAGGCGCAGACCACACGTAAAGTAAATTTATTAGGCGTCCTTTTCCCCTCGTCTCCCAAACAAAAGTGAGGAAGGATCGCCTAATGGCAGGTATATTCGTACTAACTGAGTAAACTGATGACCGAAGAAAATCTGTTTTATGACTTATCCTCTTTATTACATTCTGATAGTTCTGAGGGCTTGAGTCCTTCCTGGCTCTTCCTAAATTCTGCGCTACGTAGGCAAAACTTCCTCATTTTGGCCTTTAACCTTTCTCTTGGGAAGTTTATTAATTATTAGTAACATTACTTTTTAAAACACTCTCGCCGGGATAAAATCATGCAGAATGCCAAACGCTCTAGGTACCCAAGTGCGGAAATCCAAGTTACTCTAAGTGATAGTTTGAGCAACTAGTAAATGACTATAGGTACGTTTTGTATTTTATTAAATTCTATAGCTTAAGTCTGGTTAATTAATTCTTCTTTTGTCACGATAACGCCCAATTTATGAATTGGTCGGTGATAGACTAAAGTTGCTGTTTTGTTTTGGTTTTTCTTGCGAGACCGTCTTCACCGAGATACGTGTCATTGATATGTTTGGAGTACAAGTATCATCTTCCAGGTTCGTCTCGGGAGTGGTTTGTATCTCCTCCTCGTAGATTTTCTCATTTCCCGAACTATTTTCATAGGAGTGAAAAACTTCATTTCACGTAGGTTGACATCAATGAAAAAAAATTATAGACTGAAAACCTATAAAATATTTGCTACTAGATATTTCAGCTAAATCGCGTAGCTTTCACCAGTCGAAGTGAGTGCATGGTTACATAGCAGTCATGTGACCTCAGGACGGCCGTTGCAATCGCTACTTTTGAGATATACGGCTGAAAATTTACAGGTTACCTCATTTTAATATGCTCTTTCAGCCTGTGCGGACAAAATTTTTCAAAAGCAAATTGTTTTCGTATTTACCGAAAATTGATCTCGTGATCAACTAAATGCAAAAGGCCTATTGCCTCACAAATGTTTCGTAGTTCTCGCTCTCCATCACGTTTAAATACCGTTTAACCCTCGGACGTACACGCAAAGTCATACGCCCACCGTGGTACAAGGGGGAGGGAGGGGGGTTGATGGAGCCCCCCTTGAGTTTTTGAGGCTACTTATGACGTCATATCTCGTAACCATAGTAACTGACCATCATAAAACCTGCCTCAAAATGCGCGCAAGGGATAAATGAACAGCTACAGAAAACTTCAGGTGCTGGTGTTTTATCGTCTAGGAAAAAAATCAGAACAACCTTAGTGGTGGTGGCAACCTTCCCCCCGCCCCCCTTGTACGTCCGAGGGTTAAATTTGAACTAGGTTAGAGGATACGGCTGAACATTTTCTATTACTTGAGGAAGGCTAATCAATCCTAGATGGCCATTGCATTTATGTACAATTTTCGAAGTTTATCTAATAAATTCCCTCAACCCCCAGGTCAGGCTACCTTTCGTAGAATAAAGGAAACTAGAATTTTCGGATTTAAAAATGTGAAGAGAGCAATCATAAAAATTCTCACTTTCGTAATACGTTAAATTGCATCTAAAATTTTCGGGGAAAAAATATTTAAAAGCCCCTGTAATTTCGAGGAGACTCAAGTTCCCCTAGGATGACCGAACACTCAGGTACAAATTTTATAGAATGCATTTCTAGATATTTTAAAGTACTCTGGATAGCCTAAGAAGTGTGTTCAATGTATTTAGGAGGAAACCGACGTCGTTGGGTGCTCCTGATTTGATTATATGAGCAAGTGACTCCTGCTAAATACGTTCTCCATGGTTCTCCGCTTCAGTCGCACTGACTTAATCCAGATAGTTCCAGAGCATGCGACTGTTTTTCCGCAGAGTTTCACGCTTTTTCACGAGTGGAAAGTTTCACTGATATTTAGAAAATCGCCTCTGACTTTATCTCCAACTTGTTGATTAGCTTTCATTTGTTCTTCAGTGGATCCGGTCTCAGTACTTCTGATAGCAGATGGCTGTTCGCAGATGGCCTATGGACCCTATGAAACGAATTTTAAGTATGGATGTCTTTAAAAGGAGAGAAAAAAAATACATTTTCCCCTCTCGTTGCCAGGTGAAAAAAAATTAAATTTTTTAATTTACCTTGTAGAGAAGCGTTGTCATGGCAACAAGTGTGAAAGTGAATCCTACACAGTCCGAGCCTCAGCAGCTGGTCCTGCCCACCAGAAACCTTTCTCGTGGACAAAGGCGCCGTCGGATAGCAGTGATGACGGCTATGTGTGTCATTGCCATTACTGGTTTAGTAGTTGTGTCAATTTTGGACAGTGTTAAAGCAAGAGAGAAAGGTATCAGGTTACGAAACTTACAGTCTAGTGTAAATTTAAGCATTAAAGTCGCAGAGCTTGTCCATAGACTACAAATTGAGCGAGGGTCAAGGGTTATGCTGGGGAGTTCGAGTGGAGATGCCAGCGTGGATGAAAAGGTACAGGACGCAGTAGGTTTGACAGACGAGGTGGCAAAAAATCTGGACACTTGGCCGCAAGATTTGGAGAAATACCCATTTAACAGCAAAGATACATTTATGACACTTCTCAACAATCATCGCCATGGTATTAAAAATAGCACCATTGAAAACGAGATTCTCTTTTACTCCAGTATTATCTCCAACCTGTTTAACTGGTCCTTCCAAAACGTTCTTTTGTCCGATTACGATGATCTACCAAAGTTTATAAGCTACGAAATACTACTAATGGGAAAGGAGAAAACAGGCATCGAACGCGCGCTCGGGGGTTCCTATTTCATTCAAGGCCATTTCAATGAAACCGAAAAACTCCTATGGTTTGCCAAAGAAAACTTTCTTGGAAAGGAAAAAATAAATTTTAGCTTGACGTTAGAGCCTCGCATGAAACGTTTCTACCATAAGGCATTGAACAAGACACTTTTGTCACAGATCGAAGAGAAACGAGAAGTCATTTTGAGCAATAAAAAACAAGTCCCATCCGTTGATTCGGGGATAGAATGGTTCGATCTCATGACGATTTACATAGACGGGTTGCTTGATGTTCAGCAGCAACTTGGCACCTTGATCCTCGAAGAAGTTACAGACCACGTCAGTGAAAGCGACCGCGATTCGATTCTCAAGCTTCTGGTGTTTGGTTTTGTTGTTCTCATTTTGATGCCATTTTTTGTGTACAGCGTTTATACGATCCAGGCCTACGCTGCCAAGCTTCATCGAATTACCAAAGATCTTAAAGAAGAGAAAGAAAGAGCTGACACACTACTCTATCAAATGCTGCCCCACCCAGTGGCAGAGCAGCTAAAGAGCGGAAGGAACGTGACAGCAGAGCAGTTCGAAAGCGTGACAGTCTTCTTCAGTGACATTGTCAACTTCACGCAAATATGCGCCAGTATTTCGCCGATGAAAGTTACGCAGATGTTAAACTGGCTCTACGGACTCTTTGACAATCAAATCGACAAATACGACGTGTATAAGGTGGAGACGATTGGTGATGCTTACATGGTGGTGTCTGGGCTTCCAGAACCCAATCAAGATCACGTGGTTCAGATAGCCTCGATGGCACTTGATTTGGTGGGTCTTATGGAAGGATTGAGTCCAGCTGTGAGCGAAATCGAACGTGGTCATCTTTGCGTGAGAATTGGCATACACACTGGTAAGTTTTATCCCGAACCGAAGTACAGTAGAGGTCAAAAGTACATTAAATCGTTTCAACTACCGTATTTACTCGAATAAGCGTTGTCTCTGATTCAGCGCTGCCCTCGAATAAGCGCAGCATTTAGGATAAAAAAGATAAGTGCCGCGGCCGTGATCAAAATCAAAAGACTTTAGATCTGTTAGTTTGATACGGAAAATAATAATACCGTAATTGATACAATTCCTTGACGCGTCCAACTTTCGAATAAGCGCCGCACTTAAGGCGTAAAAACTCTAAAAAGCGCCGCGGCGCTTATTGGAGTGAATACGGTAATCCTTACAGGCGCCATCACGCACGACTCTCTTCCTTGAGACCATTTATTAGGAAAAACTGCCCACTTACCCCTCCCCTAAACCAACATTAACACTTAGTTCTTTCTTAGGGCAAAATGTTGGCTTAGGGAAGGGGTAGGTGGGCAGTTTCCTAGAAACGTAATATGATCCTATTTAAGTTTCGCGTGAGACTGGGTCGGTGTCGTATCGAATTGCACCATGGGAATGTTCTGGGGTCGTTATTGCTTCTTTTATTGACTATTACAAGGTTGCGCGGGAAACTAGTTAAGAAAAGTCCTCCCAAACAGTCCTAAAGATGAATTCAACACAACATGACCCAGTAGTGGCTGGGGATCAATTTAGGTTCCTGGAAAACTGCCCACTAACCCCTCCCCTTAGCCAACGTTTTGCCCTAGGTGAGAAGTAATTGTTAATGTTAGCTTAGGGGAGGGGTAGGTGGACAGCTTCCCAGAAACCTAAATTAATCCGCTTCGAGTTCATTTGGAAGGGTAGATGCAGCCAGATTAATTCACATTAACAGGAGCCCATAACTTGGAACAAGCAACTTTCATTTACTCGTGACACTGGGTTTTTACCGACCAGTTTATATTTAAAACAATTTGGGAGCGAATTAAGAATATCCTTCAAGTCCCAAAAACCAGTGAACGAAACTTACAGACCTGAAAATGGTAATTAAGGAATTAATATTAAATTAATATTAAGGACGCGTACGTTTTAAGGACATAACCTATGTTCTTAAGAATATCATCTATCAATGAAATTTTTCAGGCCCTTGTGCGGCAGGAGTTGTGGGAATCAAAATGCCTCGTTATTGTTTGTTTGGTGACACTGTAAACACGGCCTCACGGATGCAGACAACAGGAATGCGTAAGTATGAGTGATCCAACATTGATCAATATTTGGCCAACGTTGACGACCAGGCTTAAAACAGCGGCGCGGTAACTTCTTAAATAATGATGTCTGTGTTGTAGGCATGAGGTCAATAGGGTCGGGCCAGTTCAAGCCCCACGCCAGTCATATGACAAACTAACTGATAGTTCGGTAGACAGGGTAGAGAAGGGCTGTAATGTCGCAATTTTTAAAAATCGATATCATCCCATAAATCAATATCCGTCGCAATTTGTTATAAACCATGTCACACACAAAAAAGCGGTCGCAATTTGCAAGAACTGGTCCATTCGCAATTTGTAATAAACTAAGCTGTCGCAATCGGATTAGCATGAGCGGTGCTCACCTATATCGAAGAGCACCCTTTAAAAATATGTTTGAAGGTCAACACTAGTTTTCATCTATTTTCAGCCCAGAAGATTCATGTAAGCCAAGACACTACGAATATGCTGACTCATATGTGTGAATTTACGTTGGAGTTCAGAGGCTTTGTCAGCGTTAAAGTAAGGTTTTGTTCAGCTTTTACATTTCAGTGACCGTCAAGCTCCACTTTAATTTCATAACAAATCGTCGATGGTAGTTATTAGAATTTGCTTTGTTAAATAAAACCAAGATAAGTTGACCCAGTCTCGAGGGTAGCAACTGGGAAGTCATGGTCCCGTTTCACGTGCAAAGTTTGACAAATTTCCCGTGCAATTTTCACGAGGCACGAATTTAGTCATCAGCCCCTCCCGCCCGTTAATAAAAGAGGCTACAAACCGGAACCACAGTCATCATGGATCTGACTTCGACGGTTGTCATATTGAAATATGTCAAAAATATACACCGCATGCGGTTTTTAGGTTCTAATTTTTTGGTAAAAGTTAACCAGGACAAAAACGTAACGCAACGAATGCAACCGGCGGCGCTGTTCAATCTATAATTTCTATACCATTGATTTTCTCGAAATGGGACAAATAATTCACGAGTCCCGCATATCTTACAAGATAAATCACGCTTCATATCCATAAGTGGTCTCACAGATCACTTTCGTATTACGGAAAATTTCACGCGTCACATGCTAAATTTCGGCCTAATCACACGTCACGCATAAACTCTTTGCTACCCTCAGTCTCGAGCTCGTTTGTCTAGAGATATTAAAGACCTTAAGATCGAGGTTTGTTCATTTTACTGCAAACGACGAACTGCGGTTTGCGGTTAACGGTTTCATGCTACCCGTCTGCCCATATTTGGAATTAAGATTCGCGGGTGGTAGCTCGCGGCTGCCATGTTTGTTTTCATTTATCCATTTACTTCTACTCTAGCTGAGGAATTGTCTTCAAAATTACGCTTTTTTAAAATAGAATTCAATAATCAATAAGTAAAAGAGTTCTACAAAGTCGTATTTCTTCTTAAACGTGGGATTGTGATGTCTTAGGGTGCAAAAACCTTGCGGTAAACCACTTACCTCTGGAGCGTGGTCTAGCCTCACAAATGTGAACCTCAAACGGCAAACTGACGGCAAGGCACTAGTCACGTGACTTCTTAACATTCGCGGTTCGCGGAAGGTGCCGAAAAACTTCGATTTTAAGTTCTCCATTGCATGATTATTTGGCTCTCCTCTCCACTGACTCCTCTTCCGCAGAAGAAAAGCCGCAGAGCCTTGGGAGCGGGGTTATTAAGCTCTAAGTCTAAAATGGCTAGTTCCCAGGCGTTTCCGTTGACTCGGTCATGCAATGCCTGGGATTATTGGCAAACGTCCCCCTACTCAGGTCTTACCCTGTATAGGTAAGATAAAAAGTCATATACGTGGGAAATCATATGGATGTGCTTGGCACTAGACATCAGATTATGTAAAAATGAAAATTAAAGCAATTAAATTTTACTGTAACAAATAATTGGTCGGGCATGGAGGAGATCAACATTGGCAGGAAAAGATTTCTTATTAAATAAGATGCAGATATCTTTAAATGGTTGTTCGGTACCATATTATAGTTCTTTCTAATTAGTTTTCTTCTTTTTTTCAGGGAAAGGGGGAAATGAAAACCTACTGGCTTTCAAAACAGGAGTCATGAATCATATCACCTTGATTAGGGAAGGCGTAATATGCAAACAACTCCAAAGCCGCATAGCATATACTCAGTGGTCGATAGAATGAAGTGGATCAGAGAGGACAAGTTATAGAGCGTTTTCACTCACTTGTCCTGCATTTATGCTAACCAAACAGTGTTTTATGTTAAAATAAATAAAAAACATAACACATAATGGCGTTCATTCAGAGGAATTACAATTTATTTGTATAGGTAATAGCATGATTTGTAGGGATATTTGGCATAAATACCACCAGTGATATTTCGAAACTGTTATACGTAATTTCATGAGCCGTTAGGCGAGTGAAATTTGAGACAATTTTGAAATATCACATCACATGTAGGTATTTCAAATTAAGCTGAAAAACCACTGCTCTAAGCCAATCAAATAGCAGTAATTTTTCATGTAGTAGTATAACTACTAATATACTACTATGGGAAATTTCTGCAATTTGATTTGCCTAGAGCAGTGGTATTTCAGCTTAATTTGAAATACCTACATGTGAGGATGACAAAACCTTTGCGGGTAGTAGTATAAACAAATAATAGCATGATTTGTACGTGTTATTTGGCATAAATACGACCACTCGTGATATTTCAAAATTGTCTCAAATTTCACTCACCTAACGGGTCGTGAAATTACGTATAACAATTTCGAAATATCACTCGTGGTATTTATACCAAATATCACTACAAGACATGTTCTACCTATACTAAGACCGGAAACAGTTCACACTAGCAAGGCAAAAGAATTGGTCTGTTAATTTAGAACACAAAGGACCAAGCTTTATTTAATTAGTGTTGCTTCTGTTGTTTCTTTTCCTTCTTTTGTTCGCTGATTTTCTTCCCATTCTTCTCTTGGCGATGCTCATTAAGCCGTGCAGGGTATGGTGATGGGTAAGGATAAGGGTACGGATAAGGGTAAGGGGAGGGGTAGGGGGTGGGGTAGGGGGTGGGGTAGGGGGTGGGGTAGGGAGAAGGGTAGGGATAGGGGTAGGGGTAGGGATAAGGGTAAGGGTAAGGGTATGGTCTTGGGTATGGCGCCATATTCGGGTCAGACTTGTGTCCAGAACCTGAAAAATAAAAATTGTTCAATCATAAGGACATGGTAGATCTTTTCCAAAAATTTCACGATAGTTTTAAGACTAGAGTAAGAACTTGTGTTGGATTCAAAGATGTGACTGGTTAATAACCGGTTATAAAAGCTTTTGAATTTGTGTGGAGAATAAGGCTACGGGAAAACAGAATGCAATAAATGTGAAGCAAAGCGCTGAGTAAGGCTTGAATCTTAAAGTTCCCACGTTGGGGTAACAATCAAAACAAAACAATCATCCATGTTGGCTTTGACCATATTTGATGATCAAATGTTGATATTTGTGTGTTGATGCATTCGTTGCCAGTTGAGGTAAAATATGGAAGGATAAGTGTTGGACCGTTAGAGTCTAAGGCCTAGGCCAAACAAACGTCGAACTTTTCATGAGACGAATCAGTCTCTAATTTAGGTCTATCTAAATTAAGTTAAGATCTATGTTGGATCAAACGAACTTAGAACTCGTCGAGTTAATCAACTGAATCAGACCAAAAAGCAATTTTAATAAATTTTCTCCCGAACGTGGGTAAATATACATTATCGTACAAATTTTTAATTTTTTAGTTTAGTTCGTCGCAAAAAGATCGACGTTCAGACCACGTTCTATCCGTCTGAAGCAGACGGATAGAACGTGTTGGACGATCCAAACTCATTCAGACGAACATAACTGAACCAGACGTCGAACTTTTCGTGAACGTAACTCCTCAAGTCTGATTCGTCTCATGAAAAGTTCCACCTTTGGCCTAGGCCTAAGACAATCGGCCAAATATAGACCTTTTCAGCTTGTATGTTTTGTTTTCCCAATTCAGACCAGGTGATGTTCTCTAGCGAATTGATTTGCCTTTCGTCTTTCATTAATTATGGATACAAATGCACGTGGATGCACGTTTTACGTAAACGCCAGGACCAGAATTGGTCGCGATTGCTTACAAAGCCTGGTTTTCACTAGCGCATAAGCATAAGCATAAGCCGTAAGTACAAGCACATGTGCAAGCAGGTGAAAATTGGGTCGACATAGGCATAAGCACAAGAAAAACGGACAAGTTCGTTCTTCTTGTGCTTATGCTTATGCTTAAGTTGTAGCTTTGACTTGTGAAAACGGGGTCGACATAAGCACAAGGCCGTGGACCAATCATAGGTCACTTTGACCCAGACATCATGCGAACATATCAAAAGCAATACGGCGGACGCTTCGTCCACCATCTTGTCTATCATCGGGTTGAGGGGAGCTGGAATCCAAAATTGAGTCAAAAATGCCATTCTGCGCGTGGGTATGTCCTTAAGCTTATGCTTATGCGCTAGTGAAAACCAGGCTTTAGAGGTGGTTGTTACTAGAGGTTCCCATTATCGCCCTTTGACTGTGAAAATTTTGGTGATCATATTTGGATAGGTGGTCGCTCGTAAGAGGTATTGACTTAAGAGAGGTGGTCGCACATGGAGGTTCGAATGTATATGTTTTCCTCTGTGTAAAGAATAATACTAGTAACAGCCGAAGGTTACGACGGCCGGTGAAAACGATCGGAGGTTAAAACGCTTTTGCTCCAACGCTGTGCTTTCCGTAAGTTTCACGTGACAGATAGTCAAAACACGCGTGATCAGATCACGAGTGATAGAAGATCCAAACGCGCGTGATCAAATTGCGTTCTGTGCAATCCATCCATTCTTAGTAAAAGTCCAAACGAAAGCTGGCTACATACCTGCGACGCATGCGTAACAACTAGTGATAACCAAAGGTTACGGAGTGCGGGCGACAACGATCGAAGGTTAAAACGTTTTTGCTCCAACGGAGGGTGCTTCCTCTCCTTCAGTTGGGTTTACAAGCAACTACACTGTTAAGAACACGGTGTAGTTGTTTTATTTTTCCTTAAAATAATTGATGGATCAAAATTTTGCTAGTAGAGTTAAAGGTACGGTCGGTGGATTGGATGGATGTGCTGTGAATTTATTATATTTCTCATTGATAATAATAGTTCTTGTACTCCAGCCCAGTGGTATCATTGTCTGTTCAAAAGAAGGTGTTGCCTGGTACAAGTTGTATCTGTCTTTTTACTTGACGTTTATAGTTAGGTTTTTTTTTTAAATTTGAGCGCTGAGCGAGTCGCCGGGATCAGTTTCCTTGCAATTGAGGTACATAATAGTTTGTCGCTCTAGTTTCTCACGCCATTTGATTAAACTCCTTCCAAAAGACAGATCAAAAGTAGGAAAGATAGGAAAGATTCTAATTTTCGTGTTCTCAAACAGGCACTACCCGGCGAAAGAAATTTTTCGATTTCCGCTCTCCTCCCTCGAATTCCCTTAGCATTGCCCGGTCTGGCGAGGGAGAAGGACCCGGCTCCCCACCTTATTTTTTGGTCAGACTGAAGCCCGCAAGGCTGAGAAATATTGGGGAACCTACGATCCGACAACAGCAATGTCAGTGAAAACGTCGCTAAAACGGTAGACTTTGCATCTTTTCAAACGTTTTCGCGAATACTGCAAGTTGCCCAGTTACTTAAAAGAAGGGAAATTAGGTTGGAGTTGAAGAGAGGAGACCGCTTCGAGGTCATACAGAGGTGGTACAGTCAAACTTCTTTAATACGGACACTAAAGGGACAGAACCAAGTGTCCGCTTTACAGAGGTGTCCTTATTATAGAGGTAGGGAATATATGGCTTTCGGTATTTCTGGGACCAAAACCAACTGTCCGTAATAGAGAGGTGTCCGTATTATAGAGGTGTCCGTAAGGAGAGGTTAGACTGTAAAACTTATCACCTTACCGTTTCCGTTCTCAACTGAGTGAACTTAATCCCGAAACTTAAACTTTGGTCATTTCACGCCGCAGTTGTACAAGGACGACGGAGAATCTACAAAAAAGCGTTGTTTTGCTTTTTAAACATGCTGCCTTTTTGATGTTCCTGTTGACATTGCCGTCGTAGTTTCGTAAGGTCCCAATAATTTTTGAGGCCGGGGCCCCTTTCTTATCTTAGGATCATGGCTGAACAAGACCCCACTTGCTTGAAGATCTGTATCCATTTCAGCTTTACGTGCTCGCTCACCTTAATTGCCCCTAATTTCTTTTCCTTTCAAACGCCTCAGTGCCACACAGGATATTGTTACAGCATGTTGTTACTTAATTAGAAAATCGATAAAGGCTTTGGTAGATTCACTGACCTTCACCAGATGCACTGGAGAAATAATGCTCGGCTTCCGGTTCCTCTTGGAGTTCTTCCTCGTGCTTTTGATTCATCTTCGTGAGGGATTCGTCATTCTCCGTGGACTTTCTTCGTCCTGATTTTGACTCCGTTAAGGTGACCATTAACATGAAAGCCAAAAGGCCAACGATTACGAGGAGTGATCTCTTCATTGTAGCTCTTAAAAATTGAAATGCAATGGATTTTTAAAAACTAAATCGCCCTTCAATTCGAGTATTTTATTGGTTAGTTGCTATAGAGCACGCGAGGTGAACAGTGAGCGCGCGTCCTCAAATTTCTCTCTTAATCATCGCCCTAGAAAAAAAAAACAACAACAACAACAAGCGCCTGCTGCGTAGCCTAAGAATTTTGTTATGTATAACTAAAGAAAAAAGTGTTTGTATGTAAGTATTGGCAATTGCGTATCATCTGATCAAGCGAATTCGAAAGCCGTTTTTTTAATCAAATTGTTTTTAAATTATATAACCTGACCGAAATTGTGTTGGAGTGCTTATTAATTCACACTATATTCAATGCATGAGGAAATACTTTGTTAACCTCCAGCCAGAATTCTGTCGACATCTTTTTTTTCTTTTTTTTTTTTTTAACTATATCAATCTTGAGTTAGACACAAGAGTGGTAAGGTTATCCATTGGATGAATAGTGTTATACGTGAAAGTGTAAAGGCATTCAGATAGTAGCAACAGTTGTATATAAGTTGGCACTAGCCGACCAAAGCAGTTGAATTTCGTTAATAGCACGTATTAAGTCTCTCATGTGTGCCTCACAAAAAATATTCCCAGGACGACTATTGTACTTTTTTCCAATTTTTTGGTGGGTAAAATGTTTCGTCCAGCTACGGCCCTGAAGCCATAAGGGAAGTCAAAACACCATCACTTCTGATATCATGAATCGCCAAGTTCACAAATGAAATCCAGAGAAATACTCTGTTATAGCACAAAAAGATTAAGAATTGATATTCAGCTTCTTGCTACTTATTCTTTTTTTTCCAATTTACTCGAAAATCAAACCATACATGGTTTAACTTTTAGGGTATAAAGAGGGGGTTGTGAAATTAAAAAAAAGAAAAAAAAAAACAGGAATCGTTAAGTTTGAATATACCTTCATTTTCTTACCTTTAAAGATTTCTAAAAACAAATAGCTCAGATGTGTAGTCCTTCTCCTTAAAAAAACCCCAAACTAAAATTTTATTTGCATCTACTAGATCTTATAAATCAACAATACAAACTGAACTTAAATATTTAAAAATATAAAACGGGTTCAACTTGTGGACTTCTCGCGATACCAGAGACGGCCCTCTATTGTTATAAGGAAGACTGAATGATTAATTCAAGCAAAGGTGTGATATGATATTAATTATTATTATCCTTATATTGTCTTAAGAGTTGTCAGCAGACTCCAGTTTTCACATGTTCTCTGGTACCCGAGATCCAGCCAAACCCATCCCCGGTAGGGCGAGAAGTACTGTCAGTCCGAGACGCTACATGACCATTGTATTTTGTTATTCAAACTGCTTGGAAATCGATAGCCTCCGCCCCTGAGGGCCACCAACTTGCAGGTTAAGAAAGCTATTTCTTTTAGCTTTCTTTGAATTTTTTTTTAATTCGTCTTCCTGTGATCAATTCAAGCTTCCAGGTTCCTTTCATTTTCCTTATCCGCTGGGTTACGGTCAATGAAAGCCCCCTGATGGCTTTTTTTCTCCGCCAGGTAAACGCGAAGCAGTGTAACAGAAGATTAGAGTGATTTTACTTGACCCGTGAAACAGATACTCAGTAACAACTAGTGCAAAATAGCAACGATAAACAAAAGAAGACAATAGAATAAGTGCTTGATTTAAGTGCGTAGTATTGTACTTACTATTTCACGGAGTAGGTAAAATCACTCTATAATCAAACAATGATGGTAAGAATGCGTTCATTTGATAAAACCATGGAGTATTAGGAAATGTACCACAGTCGATGATATCCTCCACTTTTTAAATTTTTATTCCCATCTATTTAAATAACTTCATTATATCAAGATACTTGAGTACACCAGGTTGCTGCGGGTTTGTTGGAGTGTTTGAAAAATAGAGAGCTTTAGGACGACTACCAGTACCAATTTTATTCTTAATACTAAGTAGTGCCCACCCATGAACAAGTGTTATACAGTGAACATTTCGGGTGAAAATAAAAATTGCAATGACGCTTTCTAGGGTGTATATGGCGAAAAAAAAAATTATCTGTTCTCGTCGTCGTTCTCGTCTTGGAATCTAAAGGTCTCTATAAACTGAAAGTGGTTCATATTCACGGTCGATAGGTCAAGTCAGTGCTGCTTTGATTCCTTTCTTTCTTTTTCGTCTCCGAGTTTCTCCTCCTCTTTGTTTTTGTCGTTTTCTTGATTCTTCTGGTGGTGAAGGACTGGGTACGGCACGTGCTTAGGATAGGGACCTGGAAAGGACTCAGGCCCCGCTTCAGGGTAAGGATGAGGATATGGGGAGCCTGGGAACGGGTAGTTGTGATGATGAGCTGAAGAAAGACAAAGGGAAATAACAATGACATAATCAGTTATTTGGTTAAGCAGGAGCCCATAACCCGGCCCAAGCGATAGCAACTTCCATGCGCTCTTTAACTAGACTGTGAGCAGTCTCTTATTTTTCTTTGCAAAGTTACTACACGCAAAACCTAAGCACGCGAGCGGCGAAGCCGCTTGCTTCGAGAAACGAGGGCGTAAGCCCGAGAAGAAAAAATAGGTCGTCTCGTCTCGATCCCTGTATAATAACATCGTGGTTTGCAATCGCGCTGGATGGGATCAAGAACTAGACGGATTTTAGGGGAAAAGGCGGACTGCAAGCAGTCTACTCTTTAACGAAAACGTGGGCCTTAGGCTTATGGTGGAAAATACCGTAGATATCTCGAACATTGGGCTTTAGCAAGAAGCGTCGGGTAAGCGTTGATCAAAAAATGGTACAGAAAATATTCGAGGCATTCCAGTGGAAAAAAAGTGAAATTCTTCTGAGGAATTCTATCTTTTCCAGGTTCCACCGAAAAGAACCGTACAATTTGAAAGTTAAAAAAAGAAAAATTCCGCTTTAGTAAACTCTCGTAGACACCCACGGCTATTTGTGGTGAAATAAACTGAAATAGGTTTAACAAACACAAGATGACATGTTAGTTATTAATTCATCGAAAAGTTATCTTTCTCGTCCTTTAGCCAATCTCAATGACCGCTCTTGAGCTTTTTAAACCCCCAGAGACTTAAAAGTCTCTGGACCCCCAGAGACTTAAAAGTCTCTGGGTTTTCTAGTTTGGTACCCGTAACATTACGGCGCCTTGGTTACGCGGGTGGTCCCTCTTGGCTGAGATAAGTCCCGTGCTTGTCTTCGTTTTACTCCGGTAATTTATTTCCCATTTTCGCTTCTAACCGCATACATTAACGCTTTGAAACCGTCTCATCCGCTCCTCTGACCATTTTTTTTCTTCGCACATGGCAGTAATGCATGCTCTCATTATTTAAGACATTTTACTCTGTGAGCCCAGATGAGGTGATTTTAGATCTTTTTTTCCCTCATCTTTCTAAATGCTCCCCCACAGACTATATGTAATGTATTGTCATTATGCCTAACTGATATTTTAATGAAGCAGCATGGTTAGCTCAGTTCCAAGGGACAACGCCGATCTGCAGAGCGGTGGTCGCAGGTTCAATCCCGGCCTGACCNCCTCTTGGCTGAGATAAGTCCCGTGCTTGTCTTCGTTTTACTCCGGTAATTTATTTCCCATTTTCGCTTCTAACCGCATACATTAACGCTTTGAAACCGTCTCATCCGCTCCTCTGACCATTTTTTTTCTTCGCACATGGCAGTAATGCATGCTCTCATTATTTAAGACATTTTACTCTGTGAGCCCAGATGAGGTGATTTTAGATCTTTTTTTCCCTCATCTTTCTAAATGCTCCCCCACAGACTATATGTAATGTATTGTCATTATGCCTAACTGATATTTTAATGAAGCAGCATGGTTAGCTCAGTTCCAAGGGACAACGCCGATCTGCAGAGCGGTGGTCGCAGGTTCAATCCCGGCCTGACCAACACTCAAAGTCTTTACGTAACTGAGGAGAAAGTGCTGCCTTTAAGATGACATCTGCAAACGGTTACACTTTCTAGTCTTCTCGGATAAGAACGAAAAACCGTAGGTCTCGTCTCACAGCATTTTCAATTATCTGGTTCTTGTGGGACGTAAAAGAACCCACACCACTGTTCGAAAAGAGTAGGGGACATACACGCTGCATGGTGGTGTGACCAAACTCTCCTGAGCTGGATGGGTCAGTTATCTGTAATGAAGCACTTAAATTGGAGCCTCGCTCTGTTGTATGTTCCACACCAAATGGTGGAAGTGATTAAATGAATAAATCAGGGGCACCCAAAGTCAATTTTCGGAAAATATCTGTTCAGAAGACGATTTGAGATCTAGAATTTTCGAAACATGTGTTGTAAAATTTTCGAACTTCGAAAAAATGGTATAATTGCCCATTTTTTAACGGATTTTTACCCTAAAAAGGTCACCTAGAATTTTCGGGAGCCTTTTTTCTGGCTGAAATTTTCGAAAAGGTAAGTTTTGTCCCCTATAATTTTCGGATCACTAGACTTTCAGCTAGGAAATCCGAACAGATGAAAAATTTTTAGGGGATAATAGTACGCCAATATCTACCGTTTAAATACTAAAATACGTTTAACCATGGTATGTTTAAGCGGTTTTGAACTATATTCTCGTTGAGTGCCCCTGATAAATGAAGAAATTGGTCATTTCACTATTTCTTTACCGTCATTTAGGCCACTTCCTGACTGATTTTTGCCCTTAGATTCGTCCTCTGATTTGTCTTCGTTCTCGTTTTCATCATCGTTTTTGTCTTCCCCTTTTGTAGTGGCTTCGAGATTTTTCGTTGCTTTTTCGTCCTTCTTCGCGACAGGTTTTGCCACCGTTAAAGTAGCCATGAACACCAAAGCCAAAAGGCAGGCAGACAAAAGAAAGATTCCTTTCATGGTAGCTTTTGGTTTCTGCAAAGATATAAAAGTCAATACAAAAAAAGAGATGTGTCTATACTGACATATATTACTGTAGAATTGACACGTCTCGGCATAAAGCCTTTCCGGTATGAAAACTGGCACCGAATTTTACAAAACATTTTTCGTTCCTTTTATCACTTTTAACGTCTACATTAATAAATAACTGATGTGACCTTTATGGGTTTTTAATCCAGTTTTTTAAACTTAAAAGTTGCGATAATATCAATATTGTATGTCTCTGGCCGATTATGGTTTCTTTTCGTTTAAAATTGGGAAATCGTTGTATATTTGGTGTGATACTCAAACTTTGTTACAATAAAATGGAATGTTTATACAAATATAAGCATTTTTGATATGGTACGTAAACGATGAAGAGATACCCTTTAAAACGAAAAACGTCTAGCAAGAACTGATATGAGTGAATCGAAGATCCATGTTTTAAATAACTCGTTGCCTCTTACCCTTCGTGGCGTCGTAAAGATGAATCTTTGGCCTTGCTGATCGATGTCTGTGAATTGGATCCTCTGTCCTATGAGTTTAATATCATGGTAAATGAATTATTCATAAAAATCGACGGGTTTGGTTCATATAAGTCTCTAACTATTGGCAGGCTACAAGTGTGGTACTCTAAGCCGTCCATTGATCACGCCCCTGCTTTAACCCTCTAACGCTTTCAGCCCTATTATCAAAATTTCAATTCTCATCAGTTTGTCTGTTTACATTACCTATAGAAGTAGTGGGGAGAAGTTGTTATAGTATCAACTGAATCAATCTTGTGTGAACCTGTACTAAATTCTTATACCATACTATTTTATAAAGCAATGACATTATTAGGAGAAATTTCATTCTGATCTCTCTTAAGGTTTAAAGGGTTCATTTCTTCTTCTGCTTAAAAACGCCGCTTTACACCATTTGTTTATTTACACCAATACTGACCAACTGCTCGTCTTTTCCTAGAAAAAGTGAAACGATCCTTCTTTGGAAAGCCTCAAAAATAGAGGCTGGTCCATCATTTAATGGTTACGGACATAACAATTAAAACTTTAGATACCAGTAAACAAAAATTCTATAAAAATTTCATGGCACTAAAGGTCATACCACATGGGAATTAGGTCATCTGTGTACAGATTGCCCGAAAAAGCAAAAAGATTAAGGAGTGTATGGCATCACTATGCATAGAGTGGTTTTCGTTTGAGTGTCGTAAAACCAAAACCAAAGTAATTACTCTGGCCAATCACATAGGACACAGACAATACATTGAACCAATCAAAACTCGAAGTAATTACATGTGGCTGATGCAAAGCGC